CTTGAAATTCACAACGGCTGTAACGGAGGGTGTAACAGAGACGACGAAATAAGGGCTGTCGCGCGCAATGACCGTGACGACCGGATGTTTTCGCTTATCTCGCGTTAGTTGGCACATCATACTTTAATGACGCATTTCCTTGCGAGCGTCAGTGGGAAAGCGAAGAAGATATTTTGATGCTTGCATGGACAAAGCGTTACTGCGGCTCAGACGAAAATATTTTCGCAAAACAGGGGGGCATTCGATGTGCCGAGCCCCTGTCCTTCTATATTCTTATTGTGAAAAAAGTTCTGCACGGTCGTGGTGTTCGTCTCTGCCGTCAACGAATTAATTTTGGTTGGGTCGCATTTCAGGGAGACGAGAAGCCTTATGGTTAGTGGCGAGTGAAGCGGGGTAATTGAGAATTGAAATTGTGACGACATGCGCGCTTCCGTATGCAAGATGGATAGATGATACGATGAGATAGACAACCCACGTTCCGCTTGTGCATATGTACTCCTTTGGGGCTACATAACTGCACCTAGGCAAGCCCGAAATGTGAGCCTTTTGTTTGGAAATTATTTTTACAGAGTCATAACCAGCAAGAGAATCAATCGAGCTCGACTCGAGTCACCTAGTATTGAGTGCAAATGAAAGTGTTTCGAGGAGTGGCCGTGGAACGGGAAGAGTTTGGGAAGTGTCGCGGAAAGGTCATATGATGTCATTCCTGTCGCAGGAAAAGTTGTCATTAACTGTGAAGACATATAGAGGATGAGGACAATTACTGAACTAATGGCTCGGTATGAAGGTCAGCTGTTGAGATTTCTGGCCTCAATGAGGGAAGTGGCGGAGTTTGTGCAATGGCAATGCCACGTGCGAGCATTCATCTATGCAACACGCAGTGCAAATATAAGCATTTAGTCGGCAGTGCCATCGCTTTCATGAGCACACAGTAATGCCCACGACACATGCTCGTGTACAAATGGAAGGCTAGAACGCCGTCAGGAAAGTGCACTAATGCTGGCAACAGAGGTTGCACATGAAAGACAGAGCTTCGAGGACTTAAACGTTGTACGAAGTACCGGCGAGACCACGCAACAAGCGTTACTTAACCAGCATGCATAGTGTATGTCTCGCTACACGAAGGAGGGTGGTCATATTGTAATTAAGCGAAGCACACCACCTGTGTTCTAGCTTGAGTGAGCACACCCACTCGCTCCTGCACGTGGAAGAGGCAGCGTTGAACCCCTACTTCTGGATATCTTCAATCGCCCTTGTCGACAACTGGAACCACCCCAGCACCCAATACAACTAGCCCCCGACTACAGTACACGGAAGATTTTTGGTGAGCGAGCTTTTCCTGACCCAAGTGATAGAGACGCTAACCGCAACAACGAACTCGCACTGCTCGCGCCGCCCGACGATGGCGTGGCGGCTGCCACAACAGCTGCTCCTCACCGCGACGCCGGTGCCACCCAACTCCATCTGACTCGCCCAAGTTGAGCCCTACCTTCAGAAGTTGCTGCAGTGTTAACCATGGAAGTGGTTGAAGTCGAAGGAACTGAGATCGCCCCTGAAGACGCCACCCTCGAAGCCGGATGGATCTCAAGCCACCGAAACAAGCAACGCAAGCATGCGTCGAACGGTCCGGCATCGCCAACTGGCCAGGGAAGCGCGTCCGATACACCAATGCTGAACGGATTTGCCCAGCGTCTCCCTCGCAAACCCAGGCAACCGCGTCTGCCAGATGATCACGTAAAAGTTGTGATTCGCCCGAGGGACGGCCTCAATCTCTCCAAGTGGGGGAAGCACAACTGCGCGATGCTATTTTACGCTAAGTGGATCTGCACGCAATGCTACTCAAAGCGGACATTTACCGCACATGCGTTGAAGCTAATCTCATCGTAGTAAGCACACCTCATCTATCCAACGCAGAAATATACAGTCGAATCTCCGAAGTACAGGTGGAAGCTGAAACCTATGACGTTCGAGCCTACGTTACATCCCCTGAAAACACAGCAAAGGGAGTGATCCACAATATTCCCCCCTGCGACTCTTCTGCAGACATCTCAGCAAGTCTTTTTAATGACCGCAACCCCACGATACTACAAGCTATTACAAGCTCGCCGAATGGGAAAGACAAACACGGTACTCATTGTATTCGATGGCGACCAAGTCCCTTTCCATGTCTACTGTCGAGGAGCCGAATACAAATGTTACCTACATAAGAAGCGCACTGAAGTCTGCGACAAATGAGGGGCAGTCGGACACCACTCGGATGCCTGCCCCAAACCAAATGCCGTAATCTGCACGCTCTGTGGCACAGCAAACCCTGCTACTGCTCATCCATGCACCTTTAAGTGTCTGCTGTGCGGCCAAGCCCACCAGACAGGTGACAAAACCTGTCCTCAACGCTACCAGACACCTCGCCTTCTCATTTATTGTCGCCAAAAAAAAGCTAAGCTTCAACAACAACAGTACCTCTCAACCATGATTTCAACGCAAGATGCCCATCCGGAACGCCAAGAGGTGAAGCCTAGCGACACCCGCTCCCGCAGTTTTAGTCCAACCTCGAAGCGTCGTGGCTCACGCAGCCGATCAAAGCAGCGACGCAATAATCAGCCCCAGGAGCTACGATTGGTATCTGCTGGCACCCGAGGCTTCGGATGGTCCCCAGCTTCAGCAGCGGCAACCCAGTCTCACCCTCGCCACCCTACGGTAAGCTGGGCTAGCATTGTCTCCCAACCTGCTCCTATACATAATACAGTACCTACAAGTACACACACGACCACACCTAATAAGGAAATAAGGAAACCTTGTTAAGTACTATCACACTGGAGCTGCGTTCACTCCGTACGTTAGTACAAGAACTTCGCGTTGAAAACGCTGCTCTTCGGAAACAACTTGCCCAGCAACCTCCGTCCTCTTCTTTGATTCACTCTGCTGACCTCCACGCCAATACCACCCCCACCCCCTACCCCCTAAACGAAAGGCTCCAGACACAGAAGAACCAGCCACACCATCGTCGCAACCACCTACCGCCTCAGCACCCATTTTGCCTGTAGAATCTGTACCGCAGCAGCAACTCCACGAGACGATTCAAACCGTACTTGAACGGCAGTTACCGATAATGCTTGAACAGACCATCGCGCAAACGCTAGGGCGATCCCTCGATTCAATCCTCACAGCAAAGTTAGAGCACCAACTCACCTAATGCTCGACGGAAAGCTGGAAGCCCGAGCGACAATTATCCAGAAAAACCTTGAAGCCACACTTTCGAGTCTTCTTGCCAGCTACAATAGCAGAGTCACGGAGCTTGAGCGGTGTACACATCGCTCTCGGTCACATTCACATCAGAAGCCTTATGGCCTGTATTAACCAAGATGGCCGTGTGTAATCCACACACTCAGTACAGCATCTCGCAGTGGAACTGCCGTAGCTACCACCGTAAGAGGAGCGTGCTACAACAATTTCTATCCACACTCAAAGAAACAGATACACCAGATATTATCACTTTACAGGAGTCAGGCGGACAGGCTAAGATGGTCGGATACGCCTCCTTTACTGCTACTCAAGCCCCTGATAGTCGCGAAGTCCTTACCACCCTCGTGAAACGAAAGATACCTGTAATTCAACACCCCTCGCTCTCTGATACAGTGCCACACATTATATTAGAAATCCTCTCTTCATCTTGCCGGACATCCACCAGTATGTTCTTGGTCAATGTTTACAGCAGCGCACGACAACCACATCGCTTTCACAAGCTCCTATCTGATGTTAAGAAGTTGGCAAGAATTTCCCCCCTCCTCGTGGTAGGGGATTTTAACGCTCCTTCACCCGCTTGGGGCTACATTCACGACACCAGAAAAGGGCGAATGCTGTGGCAAGACACCCACGATCTTGGCTACACCCTTATCACAGACCCGGCATACCCTACGCGGTTGGGCAACAGCGTTGCCAGAGACACCACTCCTGACCTCACTTTCACTGCGAACATTACGCATGCAGAGTGGTCCAACCTTCATGAACATCTAGGCAGTGACCACTACATAATACAAACGATCGTCAAGGCTGACCCGCAGCGCAGGAAATCCAAACAGCTTGCCCTCGTTGACTGAAATGTCTTCCGCGAATTGCGGGCAACGGCCTCTCCAGAATCTGTGACCTCGATCGACCAATGGACAGCTTCCTTACTACGAGACGTTGAGCGTGCTACCAAGACTCCCCCAGGAGATGCTGTAGGCGACACGGTAGACACCAAGCTGCTGCACATGTGGGATGCCCTCGCTGGTCTGCGCAAGCGCTATAACTCCAACAAATGGAACCGCTCATTACGCAAACGCATTGCTATATTAACGCGTCAAATTGAATATTACGCTTTTTAACTGTCCCGCCAGAACTGGCATCAGCTTTGTAACGTTATGGAACGCTTACCGAACGTGCCCAAAATGTGGAATATTCTATGTAGTATGATAGAACCAACATCGACAAAAACTGCTCAGCGCCACTCCTTAATCACCGCTTTGCACAATTATCCAGGTACCAATGAAGACCTTATCCAAGACCTATCTAGTCGGCACATTGTCAGTGCTACTTCGGTTGATCTCCCATGCTACAATGCGGGGGGTAATCCAGCCCTCGATTTTCAGATTACAAAAGCAGAAGTGAGGTCCGCAGTTTCACAACTGAGACCCCAATCAGCGCCTGGCCGGGATAAAATTACAAGTAAAATCTTACGAAACCTTGACAAAGAATCACTTGAAACGCTCACATGTTATCTGCAAATGGTTTGGCAGTCGGGAGAAATACCAACAACATGGAAAACCGCCACAGTCATTCTGATACCTAGACCTGGAAAACCACTCACTATCGAGAACCTTCGGCCAATATCTCTCACATCCTGTGTCGGCAAGGTACTCGAGCATGTTATTCACACTCTACTACGAAGGTACATGGAAGAACATGCCCTCTACCCGCATACAATGCTCGGATTCCGCCCTAAACTTTCGACACAAGACGTGATGCTGCAACTGAAGAGTCACATTATCGAAGATAAAGACGGCTCTCGGTATGGGACACGTGCTATTCTGGGGCTAGACCTTACCAAGGCATTTGACAATATGCTACATTCATCCATCCTTGCCGCCCTCGCCACGCTCAACGTAGGTGCCCGTACCTACCGCTACATCCGCAACTTTATAATGGACAGGACAGCCACACTCTCGGTCAACGATTTGCCTGCACTTTCCATCACTCTCGGTGGGAAAGGGACACCACAGGGGTCGGTCCTCTCTCCATTCCTTATCAACCTGGCGATGCTTCACCTTCCGCCACTTCTAGAAGATATCCCCCACCTCCACCACAGCATATACGCAGACGATATCACCTTGTGGATTGCCAGGGGTAGTGACGGGGAGATACAAGATGCACTTCAATTGGCGATTGATAGAATCACAACTTACGCTGAACAACGAGGATTGTCCTGCTCGCCCCAAATGTCAAAGTTACTCGTCTATCGACCTAGATCCCCTACAACAGAGACCTTCCCACGATAAATCTGCATGTGCAACATTACCCTATACTAACAGTCCCTACCATTCGCGTATTGGGCTTCCGCATTCAGCAGAACGGCGGCGATTCGGAAACAATGCAACTACTACACCATCATGTCTATCAGACTACTAGGCTCATCTCCCGCATCGCCAATAAACAGCACGGCATGAAAGAGGCCAATCTCATACGACTGGTGACCGTCTTCTCCATAAGCAGAATCATTTACGGTGCTCCATTTATGAAACTTACGCTCACCGACAAGAAAAAACTAAACATAATGATCAGGCGCTGCTACAAGTGCGCGCTGCATCTCCCCATGTCTACGCCCAATGCGAAACTGAATGACCTAGGACGTCACAATACTATAGACGAATTCATTGAAGCCCAACGTATATCGCACTACGAACAATTAGGCCAAACTCCTACAGGCCGTCATCTCATGTGCTCACTCGGCATACCTTACGTCTCCCAGTTGGCCAGAAACTCCCCATTCCTTCGGGCATTCGCGACCCTTTCGTGATTCCCCCCATACCACGCAATATGCACCCTGAATATAACGTGAGAAGACGAGTAGACCGCGCCAAGCAACTAGGCAAGCGTTACGCGAAAGCCACGTACGTGGCGTATGTAGACGCAGCGGAATATCCTACGCATCGGGCCATGGCCCTCGCTGTCGCCACCGGGCCACACTACAAAATTACCGCAACTGGTACCATTCGCGCAAACAAACCAGAAGAAGGCAAAAAAGCAGCCATCGCTCTCGCCTACGCTTCAACCCAAGCATCCTGCATCATCAGCGACTCCAAGACTGCCATCCGCAACTTTACCAAAGGTTTGATTTCCCAACCGGCACTCCGAGTTCTCACAAGTACACCTCTGTTACGTCGACGCCGCGTTGAGATCATCTGGACTCCGGGTCACTCGGGGCTTGCGGAGAACGAACACGCTCATGACGCCGCCCGAGCTTTCCTCCACCGGGCGCGTCACCCAAGAGAGCACCACCCCTCGCGACCTGACGCGGCTGAGCGAGAGATGATGGTCTCCTTTTTTTGCGACAATGCGAGGAACAGAATGGTTACCTTTGGAGAAATCCTAATGTATTACCGCACGGCCAGACTTAAATACCCAACACTAGACAAGTGCCTTAGTAAGCAGCAGTCCACTACTTGGCGTCTATTACAACACGCACTTTCACGTGTCCTTCACTGTACAGCCGTAATAATTCCGCTATTCACACACCACAATGCAAAACGTGCGGTGCACCTAACGCTGAGCTCGACCATATTATATGGGCCTGCCCTAGAGCTACTCACTCAGTTAAGCACAGCACGAAGCCCTACATTCACAATCACCACGGCCGAGCAGTGGGAGGCTTTGCTGCTCAGCACGTGCCCGGAGGACCAGCTCTGGGCTGTCCGGCTGGCCGAAGACGCCGCTAGGATTCAAGGCGTGGCCGCCGCCTGAGGAAGGGGTTACAGAGGGGCCCGTCTCCCGGCCCCCCGCCACCTTTGACCCCAGCAGGGACACTTGAATAAAGTTTCTTCTCTCTCTTCTAGCTTGAGTGCGTCATACCTTGTCGAAATGAGTGGTAGCAGTATACAGATATGGCTAGCCCAACAATTTGAAAACGGCACATATATAGGTGGAAAGACGCATATTAACAAGAAAACAATGATATATATCAATGCCTCGAAAGCGGACGTAACTAGGCTGCGTAGTATGACAATTTAGAGTTATCCAAGTCATCCCCATTTTGCTTATTGAGAGCGGGACCACTCTGGTTAGGGCAAATTGAGTTTTGAACCCAATGGTAGCACGCAGCTGAGTCAAAGATGCAATACATGCGTGACTGCCGCAGTTTGGGGGACTTGTGTACCTTGCAATCTTTTTTCGGTTCGTCTTTGCCTAGCAAGTGCAGTACACTCTGCATGTCTGGTCGCAGGCCAGCCGAGCTTCCACAGTTTTGTATCTGTAGTTTCGGCGTATTGTAATTATGTTGGCAAAATACAAAGGAACTGGCTTAAATCAGTTGCGGTGATATCTCTCGCTGGCACACAGATTTTGCGTTATGAACGACGCTGTACTCCGTGGGCGCAGGGTAGGGTGTACTGGGAAAGGCATACTAGAGAAGCTCTGTAAAGAGGGGCAAGTACATTTGCGCAAAATTACCGATTAATTATCTGCGAATGATGTAGAATGACTGACTGCAGTAACACACAGACATGGAATATCATCCAATGGCTCACCCATATAAACCCACAGTGGTGACGATATGTCGTTGACAAGCTCGGACAAGGGTTTTCCTCCTCAGCATGTTTCGCCACAGAAGAGGTCTAGCGTTTCAGAAGCCCATTGTGGTTGAAATGCCGAAACACCAGTGTGGTCTTTTGATTTAGGTGCACTTTCAAGAAACCCCTATTTATCTGGAGACCAACGCTGCATCTTACCTACTAGACATATTGTGGTTATTTTTGTGACCCTTTAGAATTTTCAAACTGAGCACCAAATATAACCTTCTAGCGCTCACAATCTTGGGATAAAATATTTTAGCAGGAGGACCACCAGCTGCACTACATGTAAAAACGTTGAATTCTAAGACTGAATCCTAATTTACCACTCTGGCTCCTCACGGTAATAAACACTCCAGCAATGCGCGTAGGGACTTGAATTTATTCTCGATTTTCCAATTATGGGGATATCGTATACTAGAGACGTTTAATTAGTGGGACAATGCTGACAAAGATTGTTGATGACCCATGTGCTTGTAAATCCAGGGCAGGTAAGGTTGCATGACTTTTTATCATTGGCTCATTTTTTGTTGGCTCAAAATTTTCGGGCACCAACGAACCCTTTCAAGAGCGTCGCAGCATCCTGTGAAGACGTTCTTCGACTGCACGCTGAGTATATGCGATATTGACCGCTGCAATTTAGTTCAGGCGCCTTGTTTGCTTACAAAAATAAGTTATTCACGGTACGCAATTACGGTGGCGGCTCACATTTTTGATCGGGCGCAAATGAAATTCCCCGCACTCAAAGCAGAATTTGAGCTACTTTCAACTGGCACTTTGCGCACTCCGCCGCCTATTTCCGCATTCGTCAACGCCTTCTTCACGAGCGACGATTACGGTGAGTTTGCCCATTCTTTTGTCCATTTTTATTTTCTAACCAGTCTCTTGTTTCTGCTTTCAGAGCCACCAACATTTCTTTGTTTCAAAGCTTTACAAACCCTCATTACGTAAGTATTTTTGCTCTGCCACGGTGGTCTTGTGGCTAAGGTACTCGGCGGCTGACGCACAGGTCGTGGGATCGAAGCCAGGCTGCCTCACCAGGCTGTAATACAGCGTAATTCGCTTACACTTGGTTCGAGCAAAATCGCGGCCGGTGATCGGGCGCGCTTAGCGCTTCCCTCGAGTTTGACCGTGGTAATAAATCACACTTCAATTTGCCGCAGAATGGCGACTATAGCCCATATTCTTCGTGTATTCAGCGACACTTTTCGGGTTGTCCAACGTTTCTCTCTGGTTACGTACTCAGCGCTGACGGTCACAGCTACCAAAAGGATTCGTTTCATCAACAATCACGAATGTTTCTCATAGCAATAAAGATGCACTACCACGCGTGAACGGGGGTGCATCGACACTAACCGGAGATATAGGCGCCAAACAGCTATACACATTATACCAACTGTCTTATATCAGTGCACAGTAAAGGTTATGTCTGCCTTCTCAGAGCACGATTTAATTTCATTTTATACGGATTGCTATCCCGTAGGGACCAACCATGTTTTTTTCACTAATGCCCACAGCCAGTATTTCTGAGCTAATTATCATTACAATTAATAAAAAAACTCCATACTCAACTTCGTGCAGGTGCTGAAACAGCCACTTACGTTTTTTTAAAAGACCTTATATGCCCCGACGGTATTCAATACAAGCTTACTAAGATCTTGTAACACAACCACGGGCTGTTAAAGATCAAAAGTTTCATTCCACCACAATGCGCACATAATTTATTTTCATAATACTGACCAAATGAACACAGCTTCATGTCGTCATTACCAGAATGAAAGTGAAAGGAAGCAGGGTTTCAAACATTTGAAGCACGAGACGTAGGCTTCTAGGCTCAATGATGAAAAAAGCTGCGATAAAAATCCAATTTCCTCGTCGGAATGATGCTTTGGAAATTTTTTAGATCCTTCTTTTATTGAAAAAGCAGAAGTGAACTATGTGTTCGTGCTAGATATCAGAGTTCATCATTCATCACTTATAGGGAGCAGATTAAGGGGGCCTAAAGGGCCGCATTCAGGAAGTGAACGTAATAACCTGTTCATGGTGCACACTTCAAACATAAATCCGTCAATCCTTTACGAACTTGCCATGCATTCACTATATACAGCGCCTGAAGGGAACAGGAGCTTTGTGCCTTTTTCAGTGGGTTACCGGCTTTACACAACCAATAATGATAATCGCTTGTTCTGAAGCCCGATGGCAACAAGCGTTTGTACCACGCATTATTAAATAAACATTTTATGTTGCATTGTGAACATGTATACAGGACGCATGTGTTTATAAAGAACGTGTTCCTTCGCCTGCGTTTTTAAGTTGAAGAAGTTATTCTCAACGTATTCACAAGCAAGTGCTTTGCCATGTGGTCCAACATACGCTCGCCACGCTAACGCCTCGGGTTCGATCCTTACTCTGACACAGAATTTTCTAGACGTCAAGCTTCTTAAGGCGCAGGTTCGTCCCTCATCCGTTTGTATATAGTGTGTATGTAGTCACTTCCAGTTTATTAATTTCTCACCAGGTGGTATTGTGCGCATATTTATTTATTTATTTATTTCAATACCC